TTTTATTTTTTTATACCAAAATTACAGATGATATTTTTAATAAAATGATAAGATAAGCGTATCAACTAATATAGGACATCTAATTTAGGGGAAATTTTGAAAGAGAAAAAAAACTCGAAGATTTGACATTTGTAACAAACTAAATCCAAGTTTTCAATTTTATCAATTTAAATTTAATTTTTTTTTATTTTCAATTAAAATTATTTACTTATTTTAGTTAAGTAAAAATGATGGAAAAAAAAGTACTTTACTAAACAAACTTAATAGAAAATAATACTTTAAAAATTTTATGCATACATATATTGAGTTTAATGACTAGAATATCATTTTTTTTTTTTGTCATTTGTACTTTATAAAAAAGAGACAAATAATTTAGATTAAATAAATAAAAAATTAAGATTTAAATTGGTAAAATTGAAAATTTAAGATTAATTTTGTTTATTAGATTCAAAGCTAAAGAGTTTTTTTTTTTTTTGGTAACTTTTTCTTTTATTTATAGAGTAAATTGGTGATAAATCCAATCTAACGAGAGTATAAGATATTACGTTCAGTAGATTTTTTTTTTTGTCAAAGATCTACCATTTGTAAAATTGGTAAGAAGTCTTTTCGTTGTCTTGGGGGACATTTTGATTCCAATTTTATCCCTTAATTTATCTATTGACTTTTTTTTTAATCTATTGACTTTTCGTTGACTATATGGTCAAATTTATATCTATCTATTTAAATTATTTTCTATTTGTTCAAATTTTTTGTCTATTTGTTCAAATTTTTTTGACGATCTATTCAAGTTTATATCTATCTGTTGAATTTTTTTGCCTTATTTGTTTTGTTTTTTCCCCATCTGTTCAAATTCTATGAGTTCCTCTCTCTAATTTTTCCTATTTGTTAAAATTCATGAGCTAATTTTTCTTATCTATTGAAATCTATTTTTTACCTATTCAATTTTTTTAATGAACAGATCGTTGGTATAACCTAACCCCAGTTAATTTTTTTATCTGTTGAAAATCTAGAAAAGGAACAAATAGAGAACAAAACAGACCCAAATAGAAAAAGAATTGCCAAATGTGATTAATGTTGTAAGCCCAAACACTAGTAAGAAGGATTGGTGACGTAGAAAATGGTCTATCCGCACCATACATATGAAACTACAGTTTTGAATCATTTAGTTACAAATTCTACTCAATGTTAAAGAAATAGTTAAAAACTTTTTTTTGAATCACATCATATACAAAGAAGATAATATGGAATTGGTCAAAGTGAGAATTGTAATCGTAATCGGGAGAAGAAGATAAGGAAGATAATGAGAAATAGGGGTAGACGTCGAAAAGAAGATAATGAGAAATAGGGGTAGACGTCGAAAGAAGAGAAGCAGTAGAAAATTTAGAAGAAGGTGGCGAGTCGGCGAAAGTGTTGAAAATTGAGGCAAAAGAGGAGATGGAAAACTCTTTGTTCAATGTTGAAAGTGTCAAGCTCCAATTCGTTCACTAACAAATCAAGAGCATTAGTTCATTTGATCACGATCTTTATAAGCCCAAGGTAGTTATCAATCATCTAAACCCTGATGTCATCGCCAATATTATTGGTGTTGACTACGAATTAGCTTTGTCGCTAAGCGGTGGGATGGAGCAGGCATTTGGATATTGATGGGCATGGTGGCGGTTTCCGACGGCGGATGATGATGGTGTTGGAGAGAGACTCGAATATAACAAATCTACAGACTTATAACGACACGGTGGTTAGGTTTATAGATCTATAGATCTTCTGCATGAGGGGTTGGCGACGAAGTAGCCGACGACTTTGGTGTTGAAAAGAGCGACAGGACGAAGACAACGACATGGCGGCGCAGCAACTGATGCTGGTGTCAGGGAGAGGAGGCTGAAGAGAGAGAAGAGGCTGAGAAGAGAAAGAGAGAGAGAGAGAGATGATTTGTGAGATGTGATTTGAGAAATAAAAGCATGAGAGAGATGAAGCTGATAGAGGGGTACTTTGTTCATTTTGTGATAACTTGTCTTTATAGACATAATAAATTAGTGGGAAATTCTATTTCCACATACCAAACTATCTCTGTGTACATGTTTTCTCAATCCACACATGTAGTAATTTGATTTTTATTTCTTTGTCTCAGTCCACACACTTCACATTCCAAATATACCCTCACATTCTCTGTGCACATCCTCTCCTTCTATCATTTCTCCCTCCAAAAACCTTAATCCTAACTATACCAGCTACTAGCAACGACAATAGTGACAACATCAACAACTGCCCCTTCCCAACCTCTCAACCACTCTTACACAAGGTTCAGGTGTGATTAAGCTCATCGATTATTCGATTTTGCCTCATAGATACACACACACACACACACACACACACATATATATATATATATATAGATTTGGATTTGGATACAGTGTCTTAGGGTTTGAGAGTTAGAGTGAAAAAGACAAACAACAACCATGTCGCTTAGGCCTAGTGCGAGAACCAAGGTTCGCCAGAGATGTGTATGGAGAAATTGATCTTGAGGCGCAAAAGACTAGTATTACAACGGAATCTTTTATTTTTATTGTTTCTGAGGTTAATTTCTTTGGCCTTGACATAGAAGTTGTCTTCTTTCTTATGACTACTACAAGTTTTTCTTTGTAGGCTATTCTAGATAATTGCATTATGCGTTGTTTAAACTTGATGATCTCTTTCATCTTGCAAAGAACATGATGCAACCATGGATTATAGATTTTGGAGACTTAATATCCAGGGAGGAATAGATTTGAAAATTGGATTTTGATCGTCTCTTTTTCTTACCCTTTCTTGTTTGCTAAAAATGGGATTCAATCAAGAAAAATGAAAAAAAAAAAAAAAATTGATAGTTACATGTTGAAAATGTAATCACCTTTAGTAAATCTGACTAATAAATTATGTGTGCATGCAAGCATGATTCAATTTCATTTTTCAGATGACCAAATATCTTCTTTTTTTTTTTTTGGTGATTGAATCCATTTTAATTTGTATTTTTGAAATTTTAATAATTTTTTTAATACTTTTATCAATTTTGTTACTATTTTAAATCTGTTTAATCTAAATACATTTAGAAAGTACAAATTTTACAAAAAAAATATTTCAAACTCTGTTTTTGAGATGGTGGTGGGTGAGATAGTAATTTTGTTAAAGGATAAAATTGTGATTCTAAAAAAATTCATTAAGTGTGTGGAGTAAGAAAACTTGATATGTAGAAATAGAATTTTCCTAAATTAGTGCCTCAAACTTTGAACAATGAAAATTCAAGATTGGATTTTTTTTGTCAAAGCGCCCTTATTTATATTGTTTCATACAAAATTATATTTATGAAAATGATAATGTTTGGTGGCCGAAAATTTATGACTTAAATGGCTCGAATATGTCAAAATGACGTTATTTTGATAATAAAACACCCTCGTTTTAATACATTCGAACCATTCAAGCCACATAAATTCGGGCTACTAAGCATTTTTCTTTTGAAAAAAATATAATTTCAAATAATTTTAAATTTCAAAATTTTAAAATATAATATTGAATTAGTAAATTAATGTTTTTAAAATGTGTGAATTTCAAAATTAAGTTAAAAACAAATTAAAAATTAAAAGTCACCCTGATTTTGACAAGTCTCAAGTACTCCATTAAAAACCCATTAACCTCGAGTCCAGATCTTCTGCCATGTTCCTGCGGTTCTTCCAAAACGACGTGGTTTTGAATTTATTTATTTATTTTTTCTTTCAACTCTCAAAACCAGAGAGAGACCATCTAAAACAAAAAACCAGAGACGAAGAGGGAAGAGACGATGACTGTGGCGGCGAGGCCACATTCAGTTCCTTCGACTGCATTTCTCTCTCGTCGCTGGCGACCCAACCACCCCAATCGTTTACATCGGCTTTTCAAGGCTTCGAGCGAAGATTTCGGATCTTAACCAACTCCCAATCAACGACGATGAAGCCCCTCTGGTGTTGATCAGTTCGGATGACGACGTTCGGTGCATAGTCGATGAGTTTGACAAGCTCGAATCGCTCGATAAGCCCTCTAGGATCTGGATTTTTGTTTGTGATGAATGGGTATGTTTTTAGACATAAAAACTGTGTTGATCTGAGAATTTAAATGATGGGTTTGGGGTTTCTTATAAAAATTATAATGGGTTAGGTGGTTTAAAGAGTGTGAGTGATCCTTCTGTTAATGGTAATGGGCATGAGAGTTTTCGATTGCAATGGATATTCAATCTCCTCCTCTTTTCTCTCTCTCCCTTGTGTATTTAAACCCAAAACCCATCATTGTTTCCACAATTTCAGCAATACCCAAATTTTGAAATTCACTTCTAAAGATTGTTTTTGTCAAGAACATCATGGTTAATTTATGTGTAATAGAGAATGCTGAGCCAAAAATTGAATGAAAATTGAATGAAAATGGAAGAGTTGAATGAAGGGAATGTAAGATCGGGGAAAAGAGGTTGTTCTTTGTTTTTTTTTGGTTACATAAAAAGGCTATTCATCTTCATCATCTTCCTCATTGGTTATGTTCATCTTCCTCACTGGTTCGCAATTATCGTTTGAAACGAACGATTTTGGTTGGGAAAAGAGGTGGGTCGAGCACTCCTGTGCCTACTTGGAAGATGGATTCAAAATCACCTCCTCCAAGTATTCTACAAAATGCTAAATCAATGAAATATCCACCAAGTATGGATCTCTTTTGACCCCCAATTTAATGGTAATGGTAATGGGCATGGGCATGGGCATGGGAGTTGGAATTCAAGCTTTTGACCCCAGTATAATGTTTGGTGGTTTGTCTCTGGTTTGAGAGCTGAAAAAAAAAAAGAAAAAGAAAAAAAAGTCCAAAACGACGTCGTTTTGAAAGGAATCACGGCAGGTAACACGGCAGAGAGCTGAAAAAGAAAAAGGAAAAAAAAAAAAGTCCAAAACAACGTCGTTTTGGAAGGAATCACGGCAGGTAACATGGCAGAGGATCTAGACTCATTACGTACTCCATTAAAAACCCATAACCTCATCTCTGTAGGGTTTTAAGTTCCAACCTCAAAGAGCCATTGAAAACTCTCTCTCGCTCTCTCTCTTTCTCTCCATCAATGGCGTCTCTGTTCTCCAACCCCAATTTCACACCCATTTCCCACTTCATCAAACCCACCACCATCACCAACCCAACTCGCGTTCTTCTCTATTCCAACACCAAACCCTCAAAATCGTCAACCCCATTCACAGCCATTTTCTGCTCCTCCTCCAGTCCCCGATCTCGGCCTACCTACATCCCCAATCGCATCCCGGACCCCCACTACGTCCGCATCTTCGACACCACCCTCCGCGACGGCGAACAGTCCCCCGGCGCCACCATGACCAGCAAGGAGAAGCTCGACATCGCCCGCCAGCTCTCCAAGCTCGGCGTCGACATCATCGAGGCCGGCTTCCCCGCCGCCTCCAACGACGATCTTGAGGCCGTCAGAGTCATTTCTCAGGTGGTCGGTAATTCGGTTGATGAGGATGGTTTTGTGCCTGTCATTTGTGGCCTTGCTCGATGCTGTAAGAATGATATTGATGCTGCTTGGGAGGCTATCAAGTTCGCCAAGAGGCCCAGGATTCATACTTTTATTGCTACCAGTGAAATTCATATGAACAACAAGCTCAAGAAGAGTAAAGAGGAGGTTTTGGAGATTGCGGTCAGTATGGTCAAGTATGCCAGGAGCTTGGGATGTGATGATGTTGATTTTAGCCCTGAAGATGCTGGACGGTCAGTTTCTTTCTTTCTTACTTTTCTTCTCTCTAAGGGCATGTTTGATTAGTAGGATTATAGCATACCCTTGTTTTTTATTGCAAATTGTGTTAACTGGATTACATGTGTAGCAGACATGCAATTGGACGAAATTTATAAAGTTTTAAGAGGCCTCGTTTGGGATCAAACTTTTTTAATAATTTTTATTTTTATTTTTGCTAAAATATGATGTGAAAAAAACTAAGAATGTTTGAGATGACTTTTTAGTTTTTTATAAAAAGATGTACAAAAGTAGAGAGAAAAGAGAATTTTTAATTTTTTGATATAGATTATTGGTTTTTTAGTTTTTTTAGTGATTTTTTGACTTTTTGACAAAAAAAATCACTTGCCAAACGAGACTTGGGATCAAAATTTCAAGTACTTGTGAAAGAAAAAAAATACAAGTTTATTCAGAATAAATTTGGATAACTAATACTACACTAATTCATGGAAATTATTAATCCCTTGACTAGTAATCTTGTTAATCAAATAAGGCCTAAATTTTATAATGGGTATACAATAAGCACTATAAAATTAGCATAATTACACTGATAAGATTAAAACCATCAAAACTAATACAGATAGATGTAAAGGATAAATTATATAAAAAGAGAAGAAAACATTATCCAAATTTTAGTTGTATACATCTTCCCCTGCCAGACACCGCCTTAGCGGGACCGTGCACTTGGCCACCCATTTTATTGGAGTTGTTACTGAATACAGCAAAAGACCACCTTTTTGTGATGTTTCTTGATTGAATATTGAGGGATCGAAATATGTCATCTACTGGAATCACAAAAGTGTTTCGATTGCACTGTCTTGAGTGAGGCTTTACATCAACTTCTCATTAATAATTAAGCATATGGTGCCTGTTCACTACCAATTTCTGCTTTTTCCTTTGTTTCTAGTTATCTATTTCCTGTTTACTTACAGTTCCATGATTTCTATTCTTTTATTGATTATGTTCGTTTCATATTTAACGAACTTGAAGGCGTGAAACTCATTCCTCCGCATTTTTTATTTTTCTTTTCTTTTCTTTTCTTTTCTTTTTTTTTTTTGAATTTGCTATTAAAACTGAAACATTATGAAAAAATTTATCCAAACAAGCTGGACAATAATGAAGAGAAATTGACATGATTGAAGAATAATTGATGAGAGGGCAAAGAAAAGGGAAAAAAAGAGTCTATATTTCTGTTAATCCTTTGTGATTTTCGTGAGAAGTTGGCATGATGAATATGTAATGGTTCTTGTGGTATGGAGGGGTGAGCCAATATTTTCTAGCTAGAGGTTAGTTGCACTTCTTCTAAGGCCCAATCTCTTATTTCTATGTTTTGTTAATCTCTTTGATCTACACCAATGACTTGCTCTTAAATAATGTTGCATTGCCAAAGGGTAGCTTTTGAGCCTCAAGATAGTTTCATATACTAGAGATTGTGAAATTTTTTGATAATTGAGAAAAATGGGATCATACAAGAATAATAAAATCTTAAATGGCAAAGTTAGTTGAATTAATCTTCTGAGTTATTGTCCATCTTAAGTAAAGAAAAAGATCTTACATCCTATAGCTTTTATTTATTTATTTTTTATTGTAGGCTTTTCACAAAGTTTTGAATTATGAAAATAGCCTATAAAGGCTTATAACGGTCTTGTTAAGTTATCTGCAGTTAATTATTTTGTGAACATCATTCCTACTCAGTGACAACTTGCTAGGATCTTGGTCTTTGTTGGAAACATCTTGTTGTTAACATAACAGTCTCTTACTTTTATTTATCCAAAAAAAAAAAAAAGTAACAGTATCTTCCTGTTGGTCCTTAACAGATCTGATAGAGAGTTTCTTTATCATATTCTGGGTGAAGTTATTAAAGCTGGGGCTACAACTCTGAATATCCCCGATACTGTTGGCTATAATATGCCTAATGAATTTGGACAATTGATTGCTGACATAAGAGCCAACACACCTGGAATCGAAAATGTGATTATTTCGACACACTGCCATAATGATCTTGGGCTTTCTACTGCCAACACATTAGCGGTATGTAATTGTATTTGTCTTATACACATTTGAGGGCCACAATACCAAGTTGTACTCACTTAGCTCGTATAAATTCAGGGAGCATGCGCAGGGGCAAGACAAGTGGAAGTTACAATTAATGGCATTGGTGAAAGAGCCGGTAATGCTTCATTAGAGGAGGTGTGTGTATATTTTGCATATGACTTTGGACTGTGTGCAGAAAGCAAATTTTGACTCTCTCTTAGTTTCATGGACACTTTTATATGGACTGCATCTATGTTACCAGAAAATGCTAATACCCTAGTGAGTTACGAATTGGTACACACATTCCGAAATATGGTACACTTTCGTTCCGAAACATGGTACACTTAGTGATCCGAAGCAATCCCAAAAGTTTTTTCTAATATATTTCCTTAAATGTTACCTTAGGAGAGAAAAAATAAAAAATAAAATAGATGAACTAAAATTTAAGGTGAGTTAAGTTTTAACGAGACAAAAATATAAAAAATGTGTCATAATTTTCATAGAAATGATTTGCTATGTACCAACCAAACCAAACCAAATCAAGCCTTAAGTCCCATCACATGGGAAAATGATTTGCGACATGAAAAAAAAAAAACATTTATTGGATACTTAATTGTTAAAAGAAAATTACTCTAGAAGTACCTTAAATTCTTAAGTGTAATATATACAAGTCTACTCCTATCGTATCACATTTTAGACCATGTGGCATACAACGTTCCCGTTCCCCTTTCATGAACCGGAACGATCCACGTTCTAGGTAACATAGAATTGCATTTTGTATGTGATAATAATGTTTTCTTTTCATTTTTCCTTTTCCTTTTCCTTTTTCCATTTTCTTTCCCATTTTGTGGTTTTTGTTTTTGATGACAAAGTAGGGAGCAAAAATATTTTTTGGTTGCTTTTCGTTTGCCTATTGAATTTCCTTTTGCAAGATTTTTTTGCTAACCTAAATTCAGTTGGTGTATGAGTGACCAAAGTCTTTTGAGGCATTTCTAAACTGCACCTTGCGAGGCTCACGAAAGATGCACAAATGTGTTTAAGTGTGGTAGCAATTATGTGCATCTATTTTCGGTAAGGTGTTCATCTTAGGTGTGCCTTTTATGCATTTCACTCCTTTTCGATTGGAAAGGTGTACTAACCATAAGCTAGGTTGTAAAAAAATTTAAAAATTCTAGTAAATGGTGCATTACATAAGCGGGAAATAAACTGTCACATTAGACTTATAAGGGGTTTTCATGTAAGCAAGGGTTTTCATGAGGAAGGAAGCCAATAAAAAAAAGAAGCAAACCTAGGGTTCAAGTTGCTGATTCGAGTAAGGCTTCGATTTACAAAGCACTGGTCTCGAATTCTCTTCTGATCTTTTCTTTTTTGTTCTTTTTTTGTCAATTCTATTGTAATAGGTTATAATAAGTTAAGCTAGGCATTGTTAACTTGTGCTAGTTTTGCTTTCTTGCTTTGGTTGCTATTAGGTGTGCATTGTTATTTTGGAATCGGCTGTAATAATATTTACTTGTTGTCTATGTCTGGTTTTTACAATTCATTATGTTTCTATGCTTAGAATACTCTTATAATGTTTGGATTTATCATTTCATTATGTTCTATGCTTGGAATGGTTTTTATGAATTTTCTTTGCTATTCCTATTTTCTAAACTCTTTTTATGCTATTTTTAATTAATTTTATATTTTATTAAAATATAAAAATTCAAAACTCAAAAGGCTTCAACACCTCCGTGTTGAGGGGTAAAATGCCTCGCTTTGTGCACTAACCTTTAAAAACTTTGTGAGTAACTAATGTTATTTACTTCTACTATATTGTATTGTGTAAGAGGATTGAGGAAAGTATTCATAATTTATTTTTGCACTGGCCCGTGGCTATGATGACATCATGGAATAGATTGTTTTAGTTGGTGGAGATTGAATGTGTAGTTCCAGCTTGATGTGTTTGGATGTTCTTTATTGACAATAGAGGTTTTGGCTTCAACAGGAAAGCTTGAGTACTTTGGAATTGTGTTACTTGTTGTGCTTTGGGTCATTTGGTTGGAAGGAAATGCAAGAATTTTGAGGATAAGTTTGAGGATATAGGAGTCTTGTGGGATAAGATTTGTTATTTGTGTCACTTGTCGTGCTTCCATTTTTCAAGGACACTGGTCATGTATCCTTTTAGGCTTAGGCATGTGTCAGTTATAGTGTGTGTCTATGTTTTTCATCCTCATACTGCCCAAATTTTCAAACAAAGATATAAATGAATCATGGAATCTTCCACAATTATTTCTATGCCCTAAAAAGTTATATAGGATAGCATCTTCAACATGGATACTTTATTGCAATTGAAACACCCATGAAATATCAAAAACATTAAAATTTTTGGGTTACATCTACAAAACTAGGATTACATCTTGTTAAGCCCTTTGATGGACATGTCTGGTTGATGGATAAGTGGTGAAGCTGTATATTCTATTTTCCCTCTCATACTTGTAATGTATATTTTTGCTTTTTGTCTTGTACTTTTCATTAAGAAAATGCAAATAATACATAAATTGAAAATTTTCTACATCATGAATGTTATTATTTCTGGTATTGGGTGCCATTATAACCATTTTAGCAAATATAAATCATGTATTCAATTTAACAAGTTTTCCTTTAAGGATGTTACTCAACTTAATTTTCTTAGATTTTTTTAAGGATTCTTTTCACCTTGAAATTTCTATATCGATCTAATGTGCTGCTTGCTTTTCTTTCCAATGTAGGTTGCCATGGCCCTTAAATGCCGTGGAGAACAAGTGTTAGGAAGCCTTTATACCGGGATCAATACACAACAAATTGTTATGTCAAGCAAGATGGTTATGTTTCTAGGACTGCGTTTGCAACTTTTAATATCAGTATTTCCCTTAATTAAATTGTTTGTATTGTGATTATTAATTAATGGATAATTTATCTAGGTAGAAGAGTACAGTGGACTGCATGTGCAACCACACAAGGCCATTGTTGGGGCTAATGCTTTTGCTCATGAAAGTGGTATCCATCAGGTTGGTGTTGTACTAAAAATGATATAATGATTTGTTTCATTTACTCAGCTAGGTATCCTTAACTTCTACGTTCTTGACCTATATGGCCATGTTTTTCTTTTATTCATCATCTCATTAGTTGATGGTTCTCTACTTCTTGTCTTTGGTTTTTAAGAGCAGCTACTTTGCAATATCTTGTCCTCTTAATTATTTAGCCTTTCTATTTTATGAAACTATTTTTTCTTGTGGATGACGTTAAAAAGGGCCAGAGGATCAACATTTACCAAAGAAGACACACCCGATCCAATCTCAACCACGTAATCCTTTGCACGATACCCATCAAATAAGAAAACCCCAAAAATTGATGCGACATAAGGACGAAACACAAATTCATCCTCGCAATAAAAAATGTCTATCAATTCCCCTTGGACATCCACGTCGGACCAACAAGCACAACGGGGTTCAATCCCTTCCGTATCATTGGAAAATGACTTCGACTTGGGGGCTACGTAAGGAAATCGCTCGTAGAAAAACACTAGAAGAAATGTTGTGAATATGAAGTTCACAACATCATATCTTCCTTTTGAGCGACAAGTGGCCTCTTGATACATATCCAACTTCCTATCCAAGCTTCCAAGGAACAAGGGCACCAATGAAACCGGACGCCCACTTGCAAGAATGGCATCAATGGGGAACAAGTCATAATTACTACCATCCTAAGGCCGACCACCCAGAACACATGTAAGCAACCAAATGCCAAGGACTTCCCCATTTTCCACCCTTCATGCTAGGCCTTGTCACTCCATGCGTTGAAGGTTTATCGTTCTTTTTTGCTCAAATCGTGGTACTAATACCACAACCAACCACCAAAGCAATTCTTCTTGAAGTCGCACCATTGAGTCCTAACATAGACTTCGTTCCTATAAATACTCAATATCCTCCCTGCCTCATTAGTTGAGGCCTCCAATTCTGTCACAATGGCCAGTTGCCTACTCAATAGCTAGTAATAAGTAGGATTAGCCTTCCTAATATGTTTCAAACCAGTCAAGACGGTGACATCCTCCAAAGTTGGCTCGCCTCCCCTCATGGAGCTACAAAAGTGGTAATAAGTAGGGTTAGCCTTCCCAATATGTTTCAAACCAGTCAAGATGGTGACATCCTCCAAAGTAGGCCCGCCTCCCCCCATGGAGCTACAAAAGTGTGGGAACTCAAGCTCTACCTAGAAAGCATAAAGTCTAAACCAGTCGGGCACTCACCTAATAGTGACTTGTGACCACCCCAAAATGACAAAAGCAATACTTGCGGATTCTAAAAGCTTGTGATAAGGGAGATGACGAAATACAACTTTAGTTCAAATATGGAAATCATCCTTCACACCGATGTAGTATTTGAAAGCAGGGACATAAAACAGTTAGCTCCCCAACTCCAAATAAATGAGCACAATAGAGCCTGGTTGAATAGGGGCTTCCATTCCCTTGTCGGACTTAACACCGCCCAACAAAACTTCGGTCGAACTCGTCGCAGCCTCATCAAATAGATCTAACTTTTCCCCAAAATTTATCATAATGGCCAAAGAAAGGTGCCCAACCCCAACCCCGGCACATCAAGAGGCTTCATTTCGTCCTTTTTGGCTTTGTAATGACACTTTCTATTTGATCTGCTCCTTTTTGAAGCACCTGCGAGCGTCACTTGTGAATCACTAGGTACATTTGTTGGGGCCAAGTTAGCACCCATTTTTACTTTTGCCATCTCCAAGTGTTTTACAAATCTACCTACATCAGGCATTCAAAATTCCAAGTCAATACTTGACTCTGCCAAAGGAATGTAGACAAAGACATGGAAACTTCAAACGAAAAGAAGTTATCTAAGGATTACTCAATGTCCAACCCAACTGAGCTTACAAGCATGAAGATCTAGGCTTGAAGGCAAGTGCAATGCCTACCTACACAATTTACTTCCAAACAAATAAAGGGTGTTGCAATTCAAGGGAGGCAAGAGCTTGTTCAATTAAAAGAAACTCACTGAAAGGGTTTTGAAATACAGCCAACAACAAATGAACCCCGCTAGCTCGCTACACCTCTGTGGATAAATCTCTGGCTCAAGCAAGAAGCAAACAAGTTGTGCCCAACTGAGCATTAAATTATGAAGCAGTACAAGTATGGAGCAATAACAAAAAAAGTTTGAAATGTAGAAACTCACCAAAAGAAATTAGCTCAACGAAGGAGTTATAGCTTGATGAAAAAAGCCGCAATCACCCCAGCTTGCGACACTCTTGGCTTGCGATACCTTTAGCTCACATATTTGTTTTAACATATAAAAATCAAAGCCCAAAATTTCAAGTGCATTTTGACAAAACTCTTAGAATATTTTGACAAATGGTGAATTTTTGCAGCTTGCGTCACTCCTGGCTTGGTACACCTTCAGCTCACAGATTCTCTTCAATTCACGGAAAATCAAAGACCAAGCAACCACCCTCAACCATTTACTTGATCCTCTGAAAAGATCAACAAAGAAGTTTCAAGAAAGCCCAAGTGTAGTTAAGAGACCAAAGCTCGCCTTTAATCAAATTCATGAAAGTATTGCTAACTGTAGCTTGTAAGACTTCATCTCACAACTTGATAGCTTGACAGCTCAAAATCAACCAACTTTCGGGCTCACAACAACTACATGCAACTCGAAAGACTTAAGCTCACAACTCGGTAGCATGACAACTCAAAATCACCCAACTTTCGGGCTTACAACAACTCACTCTTTGAGCTCACCCCACAATTTTTCGGCTCACAAAATTTTGATGAACCCCAATTCAAAGGATTACAAAACTTGTGTACTAAATTTGGGTTGTGCCAGAAAAAACGGGAGCTCAAAGTACAAGCACAAGTGTTGATCCCCCCTTGTCTCGCTACACACTTGAGAAACTTTAGCTCAATGAAGGAGTTAGTTTGTAGAAGTCCGAAACCAACTTACTAGCTCAATGGGCCAATTTACTTGACTTCCTTTTTCTTGGTTCAAGGTTGAACTCAATCCCTCACTGCATACGAAGGGCCAACTCGTGACCCACCCTGGGCTAGACCTCCTTTTTCATGATTCCACAAAGAATAGCTCGCACTACAAAGGATTCTATACAAGTTTCAACCAAAACGATTCAAATTGTGCTGTTGAATCAAAAATTGAGTGAATCGTTTGATTTGATATGCAATTCATTGTGATTTATTGTGAGCTCAACGAAGGAGTTAGTTCGAAGAAGAAGTCCGAAACCAGCTTACCAGCTCAACGGGCCAATTTACTTGACTACTTTTTTCTTGGTTCAAGGTTGAACTCAATACCTCACTGCATAAGAAGGGCCAACTCGTGATCCACCCTAGGCTAGACCTCCTTTTTCATGATTCCACAAGGAACAGTTCGCGCTACAAAGGATTCTATACAAGCTTCAACTAAAATGATTCAAATTGTGCTATTGAATTGAAAATTGAGTGAATCGTTTGATTTGATATGCAATTCATTGTTATTTATTGTGATTCACTATGACTAATTGCAATTCAGTTTTGTTTTTGTTTTTGGTTGGATAATGAATGAGACGACACCAGTTTTGCCTCTCTAGCAAGAAAGGAGAGATCAATTATTTATATTGGTCTACGTGGTTTTATATTGTATACCCATATAATTCAGTTACATTGATATTTATTCCATTTACTATTTCTGTTGAAGATAATTTTATACAGTAATAACTTGTTACTGGGGTTTTGTAAGGCCTATAATTTTGGCCTCTTAGGAAAACAACTTGCAGATAGGTTGATAATAGTGTTGATTTGGAAGAGCTTTGGCTCTTCCCTCTTCTTTTTCTGCAATGTAAGACATTCTACTTTTGTTATATTCTAATGAGTTTGCTCTGTCAAAAGCTGTACTGTAAGTTTGTATATGTTATAATTGACCATAAAAAGTTCAATAAATTTATAGCATTGTGATTGGATGGCAATTCAAGCTGGATGGGTCAAGCTATGGCCTGTTTAAGCAAATTCATTTGTTGACAATCATGGAATCTAGGCTCAGGATCAGTTGTTTATTTATAAAGAAGCCTGAATCCCACAGATGGATCAATTTTATGTTGCTCGTGGAAACCTAGTTCATTTGTGGCCACCGTGGTGACTTGCTGACAAAGATCCAGGATCTGCTTTCAGAAATCTCGTCTTATAGTGACCTGATGGTGGTTTCAGTGGATTGAGTGGATAATATTTCTAGAGAACTTGTGGTGGTTAGTGACGTTCAATATGGGGGCATTGTGTAATATATATGCTCACAGATGCCATCAATCAGTAGTCAGGGGTGGTAACATATACCCGTTTGGTGCCCCCAAAAGGTTGGAGAAGTTTGCCAAAAGAAATTACTACTGGAAGTTGCTTATGGCATTACCGCCTTACTAATCAAGGGTTCCTGGCATTAGAAATCCTGGTAGACAATTATTGCAGTTCACAGTCTCCTTCGATCTTTAGTTTACATCTTTCTTTATTTTGCAATTATCATCATGCCTTTTGATTCTGTTTTCCCTCTTTCTCTGTCCCATAAATCTCAATTGTTGTGAATCGTGACTCTTCCATTTTACATTATATTAATTATTTTGACCAAGATACATTAGGTATATCTTTGAGGAGATGGTAAAACGGAAGGAAAACCAAAAATGTCTTCTCCAAGCCAAAAAAGTAAAACAAAAAGAAAAACAATGCAACACAAACAACAACACGTATCTTTGGGAAACACTCGTGCATTTGTTTTCTTTAATCTTTACTTTTATGATCTTTTTCTTACTTTCAACTTTAGGTTTCTGTATATAGCTTCTGTTTCTTTTTGAGTTCAGATTTATGAAAGGAAAATGTCTTCGTACTTTTTCAAAAACCCATGTTTGTTCTCATCTCTAAAATTGATTTAGACTTTTAAAATTGACTTATACTATATGTTTTGTAGGATGGAATGCTTAAACATAAAAATACATATGAGATTATATCTCCTGAAGATATTGGGCTTCACCGGGCTAATGAGTCTGGCATTGTCCTTGGAAAACTCAGGTATGCTGTACCAAATTTCTACTTGGCAGATTTCTGCTTCCTTTTTCTTTTCCTTTTTTGGGCCTTTCAACTTGTTTTTGTTTGTTTTGTTTAGTTCTTTTTACTTCTTACTACCAATATATTAAATGTATCTTCTTGATGTTTTCCTCCTTCAACGAAGCATAGAAAATGCATGTTTGCACATGCTAAGATATCATCCTGCATCTTGCACTATTGTAGTAGATGTACTGTAGACTAGATCTCCAGAAAATGGGATTGAGTGTTTGTATCTGAGCTCAAATTGTATTTGAAGATATACATGTGCAACAAAACACTTTTTCAGTGAGACCTTGACAAAACCAAAGTTATGTAATCTGAGTGGCTAACAGGCAGACGATTTGTGATCAAAGGATTGTAACACAAATAAAACCTGCTGGCTGCTTTAGAGAAAGCCAATTTCTGCTAAATTTCTAGCATTGATCAGAAAGGACAACTTGAGAATCTTCAATCAAGGGTAGTGAGATGAATCAACATGTCTAAATAAGGAATGGATCAACCTGTCCAAGCCTTGTTTCCAAGGGCTCGTTGAATATTCATAGTAGTAATAAACAAAAGATTTGTTGAAGTTGGACTGACTGAATCCCAAGCAATATATATTGGTTGATCCCAAACAAACCATAAATGGAAACATTATTGAAAGACTTACTAAAAGATAAGTTTAGATAACTTTCCAAAACCTATATATAACATAGTGATTTCAGCTGTACTTGGATATTTGTAGTTTTCTCGTTAAAAAATTACAAACTCAATCCAGTTACTGGAGTTTTTGATTTATGTGCTTTAACGATGAGCGATGTGATTGGCCTCCATCTCGAAATAATGAGCGATGTGATTGGCCTCGATCTTGAAAGATGTATTCTTGGGAAAAACTCTAGTACCATCTTGATGCGGCCCAATCGGCTAACAGCCGGCTGATCCACAATCAAGGTACTGTATGGCAATCAAATTGCTCTGCTACCATTTTGTTAGTCAAGCTGTTTAAAAGAGTTGCCTAAAAGATGGGAGGTGTGTGAATATATATATCTAACACCATCTAGATGCCGGTCAATTAGCTAAGAGATGGCTGATCCACGATCAAAGTAGCATATCTGCAATCAAGCTGCTCTGATACCAGTATGTTAGGTAAGTATGTTATTTAAAAGTGTTACCTAAAAGAGGAGAGTTGTGCATATATTTTGGTAATGAGGAATCGGGGGCTTTGTCATGACTGCTCTCCCATTCCACACATAGTGGGCAATTACCGGGCACAGGTCCTGGGGTGGTCCCCAAAAGGGGATCAAGGGCTTCACGGGATTTAAACTCATGACCTGTGCTTCTTGAGGCACTTATCATGGTTCAACTTGCCACTCGGTTAACACCTTGGAGTTGTGAGTCTGTGTGAATATTCATAGAATTTTTCAAAAACCCTAACCACTTTTGTACTGTGCTCTGCCATTTAGTATGGCAAAGAAATGAGCATACAAGAAAAGGTGTGACCAAAGAAGTATGGACACGGACACGCGACATGACATGAATATGACACGGACATGCCGACACGTCAATTTTCAAAAAATACAAGACACAACACATGGGGGACACGTATGAAATATATAATTTTATATATTTAGTACATGTTATATACATGAATATGTCATTCAAAGATAATAAAAAATACAATATGACACTAATTCCTATAAATTTATATGGTTTTTGTTTTATTATTGTATCTTAAGTTATTTTGTTCAAACTTATAATTAGTTTCAC